TAAGCTGGTTGGTTTAGTTGCGGAGCTTTCGTCGTCCTTCTGGACAACATCTTCAGCGCAACGTTTAGCAGAAAGTGAAATGAATTAAACTTCTTCATGAGAACACTATTAATTACAAATCATCCACCTGAGCTATAAATCTTCTCTATTATGTATAATAGTCTATTATTGAGTAATAGGGTGTGACATAATTCATATAATTACTCAGAGGTGGTTTTAGAAGTAAAAAATAAAAGTTATAAATCACGTGGTACTCAATGCCACAAAGTTAGAAATTTTGATAAGGTCAAAATTGCTACTGAGTGAGAATAAAGGTAGTTGAGTTTCAATTTAACAAGTGTGAAGAGGGTGTGAAAATGTACAAAAGGAACATATGAGAGTGATAATAGCGACTTAATTATTAAATTAAAATCAAACTAAAAGAAAAATTGAAAATTAGAAAAAAACTCAGGGAAGGACCAGCGAAGAAGTTAAGACCGAGGTAGAATAAGAGATTAGACAAACTTTTCCTGCATACAGAGTTCGGAGTTGTATTGACGAATTGCCACCCCGCCTCCCCTATACACAAAAGCCGAAACCTGACGCCATTTGTACCATTTGGCCTCACCTTGTAGATGATCTTGAAGGACAACTTTGGTGGAGCTACGTGGCTTGAGTTCACCAAATACTTGAGAATTGAGCCAGTAACTTTTATTTTTTACTTTTAAAGCCACCTCTGAGTAATTATATGAATTATGTCACCCCTTATTACTCAATAATAGACTATTATACATTTTTGGTAAATATAAATACTACTGTACAGCCTGTGAAGATGATTTCGTCAATGAAGAAAATTTTCTTTGCTGAATTTGTCCTTTATTTTCTTCATGACTCAATGGGTATTTTCAGTGATGTGAAGGGAATGCTCATCGAAAACGCTGGTGAGGATAGTGTTATATTACGAGTTGAAAAAAGTTAGAATTCACGGATTATTGAATTCCGGCTCAAGTGGCTCAATGTTCAACAAACGTCTTGTTCTGGTAACCTGAAGATACCGGATTCAATCTCCGACAAGGTTATGTGTGTGCGGATCGCTGAAGAGTCACGAAATAAGACGAAACAGCTGTCTAGCGCTTCTCCATTTTCAACAAACTCTCTCTAACTGATGTTAGTTAGTGACGAAATTTAACAAATGAAATTAAAATGTAGTTTCTTTTGTTCACTTCAGAGAAGTAAAAAGTACCAAATTGAATTGGAGTTGAGGTAATCGAACAACAAACTAAACGGGCTGTTGTTATTCATAGATAGATTGAAAATTTCAGTTCAGACAAGCAAACACGTCTGTCCAGTTATCAATGCAACTTGGGTGTGTCATGTATGATAAATTATTTTATTTAATATTTTGAATTATAACAGGTTTATATTTTTATATGGGGTATATAGTTTTTAAAAAAAATACCGAAGTTAAATGGAGCGGTTTATGTTAAAAGCTTAGAAGAATATCGATGACTTTATCATGTCACGATATGCAGGTCATAAATGAATGAAAGATATTCATAGAGAGAATCGATTAAAGACAAGAAATGTAAATAAGTGTGGATGTGCTCGTGTGTGTGTGTATTTATTTATGCCTCTACATGCGTTAGACTGTTAAAGGTCATCAAACATTAGATGTATATATATTACTGAAATGAACTTAAGTACAACATTGGTTACACTATGTTAAGATAACATATGTGCATGGAATTCATGACTGAAAATATTGAATTTCCTATTGAATGCGCTATAGGAATGAATTGTAACTGCAACTAGCTTGGTTTACGTAAAACTGCTAGCGCTCTTTTACATTTTTACACACAGTTAACACTTAATATCTACATATTCCCAATCTGATGTTAGTAATTTCGATCTAGAATTGATTTCAGTTAGAGAAGTATTGGAAACCAGGGAGTACTACACGCCTGTTTCGTCTTTGTTTGGGGCTCTTCATCAGTATGCACCCATGGTCTTACTATGAATCGAACCGACGACCTTCATTTTAAAAGAAAAGTGTGTATACTATTGAGTCAATGAGTCGGAATCTGATGACCCATCAGTTCATCCTGTAATGAGACACTAGTGAGTACTAGATTCATTTTCAAATGTTGGTTTACCAGGATTTGACAGAGGTTAATTCGCGGGTAAAATTGAAATCAATCAAATCCCTGCAAAGTAGCACTCGAAAATGTCAATAAAGCATAATTTAATGAAGTCATCCACATCTTGGCAGAACTTTTCAGTTGAATAACTCTACATAAAGTGTTGCTACTTACAACGAGAATACACATACAGATGAACATATTATAGTGGATCAGTCATGCATGACTGGTTGTTGTCAACATGCAGAAGAGGTGTAGTGTGCCAAAATAACTTCACCTTTGGGGATGAAGTGCTAAGAAAGATAAGTTAGACTTTTACCGTTAGTCATTTTTTTAAAGATCGTCCATTCAGCAATTTGGTGCATTATGAGCACCAAAATTGCACCACACAAGATCTCATACTTCAATGCCAGGGTTAAGGTAATATCTTGGCACCCAGACCGAAGTAGGTGTTTCTCTTGGGGGCCACCCTCCGAGCATTTGACTTGAAGCCTACAAGGCAGTGGAATAGCGTCAGGAGCTACGATTCCATGTTTGAAAGTGAGCAAAACAAGTTCATACGTCATTCGACCCGTCCGGATCCTTGATTCGATGTACACCATAGGCGGATCTGCTTTTCCACTGGTCCAGTTGTAAACGCCCAACGTTCAAATTTGACCTTTTACTTTTGTGGGTATCAACCTCGACTCGTTGAGATAGTGAATAAGAGTCACCTGGCAGATGTTTCGAACGCGTGACCACATGTGAGCATCTCGAAAGGAAGACAGAAAGCCACACCAGGTGATTTACAGTGGCATTTTGTAATGTCAATTAAATGGTGTAGCCAAAATTGTCAAAACGCAAGCAACGACATTAAAGTCAAATGAACGAATATAATTCATTCAAACAGAGAAGATTCTTGTTCTGCAAAGCATAATATTGACAACATAAAAGAATGAAACTAATTTTGCACCAGGCATTACACAGTCAGTCAGACAAATGAAACTGACTGTTGCAGACTCGAGATTTTCTCTTCAGCTACACATCCTTCCGAGGATTATCTCAGTAAACTTGGATGACACAGTAAAATCCTTGAACCTAACTTTATTTAGCTGGTCAGTTTGCAGGGGCATATGTGCAATAAAAATCTGTGAAAGTCTGATGCTTATTCAACAAGTGTAAGTAAAGTAGCTGTTCTTGCACACAGTTGGCAAATAACTTTCCTTGCAGAGCGACATTCTTGTGACAATTTGTTCCCAATAGAAAACTTCATAACATGACAATTGTTATTTGAAAGGTCTGTTCAACTATCTGAGATTACCGAGAGTGACAAAACGGACTTATACTCCCGCCAACCCTTGTTTGTCCTTTTCCAGACAACCAATTGTAATCGTTCAAGTGAAAAACAAACTACCTAGCTGTGCCACTTCTATGTGTATCTATAAATCTAGTTGCTCCTGTGGAGAGAGCTATATAGGGCGAAAAACTAGACAGCTTAACAAACGCATCAATGAGCATCTTCCTTCATGGTTCGAAAAAGGTCAAATAAAATCTGTAAGAAGTTCCGTTTTGGCTCATTTGATTGATAGTGGTCACCAAGTGGACAAAAATAGTGCCATCAAAGTTATCTATCGCATTCCATCGAGTCTTTCGAACGGAATTCGAATCCGTTTTTTACACAAAGCCGAAGCTATGGAGATTCGAGAGAACAATCCTAGTCTTTGCATACAGAAGTTTGTTCTATCTTTATCTCTCATCAGTTGCTTGCCTAGGTGAATTCTATTCAAAACCCTCCCATCCTTTCTTATTTTCCATTTCCTTCGTACTTTTATGATATTTATTTAAACTCTGATTATCTGTCCACTTCACTCTTAGTAATACGTAAATTTTAAGATTTGACCTAATTTATTCATTGAATTGTCTACATATACATATATTACTACGTTTGTTATTCTTATCGCCACCCGCATAAACCTTATTATCAATATTTTGTTATCATTATAATCATCGTTATTAACCACATTATTATTATTATTATTATTATTTGATCCACAAAATCACCGTCATCACCGTCATATATATATATATATATATATATATATATATATATATATATATATATATATATATTGTTATATATAAATCTATGTATATTAGAGTAAAGCCTGAAGAAGATCTAATTGAAAACAATATTGTTCGCTTATATATCTTGTTCTAATATTAAAAATGGGAATATTTAAAGATATGAAAAATTTTAATCATGAATTGCGTAATTTGCAAATAAACCGAAGGGGATAATTGGGTGCTCTAAGCTAGTGCTTAAGCAAGTTGTGCCAGTACGGTAGTTATATACATTTAACACAATTTTGCTACAGTATGAGCGGTAAGAGATGTGCTACACAATATAATAAACAATACAACGATATCATGGGAAGAGAAATAAACTGGTTGGGGAATATCAAAATAAGAATATGTAAGCATACTTATTAGAAACATTCAGATCCCTGAAAACCAATATCTGGCTCCTTCCAAGGAGTTACCTGGAATCCTATTAGTGCGTTGTGACCAATGGGGGTAAACCAAGTCAGGTAACAGGATACTTAACCACTAAAGATATTTCCTGTCGATTGAGATATATAAAGCGAATTAGTGGATGTTGGAATTCATGCCTTGAAACTGGAAAGTACGGGGCTTGAGTCCTAATGGGTGCGTACTGCTGAAGAGTTGCAAACCAAGACGAAACAACTGTCCAGTACTTCCTCATGGTTTTCACTGTCTCTCTAACTGACATCAATCCGTGATCAAACTTAAAATAAATTAAATCTCTATCAAATATCCTTTGAAAATATTGAAATGTTATTCAAATATATATATATAGGGATTAGTAATATTACATCTACTTACCGGAATATTACGTTGTGCTTTCTTTACAGATGGATTAGAAAAGTCAAACAGCTTAATTGTATAATCTTTACTTCCACTAACAAGAATTTGTAAGGTTGGATCTGGATGAAAATCAACACAAGTAACTTCCTGTGAAATAAAGAATAGTGGAAAAAAAAGAAAGGATTATATGAGGTTTAAAATAGCTGATAACAAGTTGTGGAAAGACATGGTTACTTTGTAATAGCTAGTGGAGTTTACTGAATATTCATCTGGTTTCATTAGACGCTAGTGCCTAGTGTGATGTGTCTGTTCCAGTCTTTGGTGCAGACTAAATTCTATCAGTCAGGTTTGCAATGTGGCCACTATTCTACGTAGCTCGCCATCATGATGCACTGTGAATTGTTGGCATTAGATGGTTGAAGGCAATCGTCACCCAGTGCTGAAGTCTCAGAAGGGACATGAACTCCTTCAAGGTTGCAGATACGCCTTGCTGACTAGTGAGTGCCAACAAGCACGAAACCTAAGTTGGTGGCTTCTTGCCGATTGCCTCCAACCATCATCAACATTCATCAAGTTAGTTAACACAGTATGTTTGACCGAAATAAACCCGCCGACATGCACCTATATGAGGATTTCTGAAAATATGCAGATTAAACCTCAAACTTCGAAGGATTCCGCATTCTATCTGGTAATTGAACCTATGATAATTAGTATTACTAAGAGCATAGTTTAGATGAGACTAATCGTCATTTACTTTAGAAATTAATAAATGCAAACAGAGTTTCATTTAAAACAAGAAAAAACCGTGAAAAAAGGAGTATTTAGTGAGTCATAAATTGCGGTAGGACTCGTCAGCTGAATACTCTACAAACACTGCTATCAGTACAATTTTTTAAGATTAAATACACACCAACACATGAACGTTGTGACAACAAATATATGACCGATAGGCGATGAGTAATGATGTGTTAACGTCATTATTAAGTGAATAATATTCATTCAAGTACATATTAACATATAAACTGGAGTTATTGTGATAGAATAAATACAATTATAGACATCGAAATTTGAAGACAATTGGACGATGGTGACTAGTAGTGGAATCCAGGATGCGCATTTCGTCCTATCTGGGACTCATCAGCTAGATGTGCCTGCATTCCCCAGTAAGTGTTCCCACCTACGCTCGAACCCAGTGCCCATAGTTTCACACACCAAAGCGTTATCCACTAGATCACTTGGATCACGAGCCACCTCTTGTACAATGGGTCCTATTAATTATCCAATACAATTTTAGATTTGAAAATAAAATTAAAATGCACAGAAACTTTGTAAAAACAAATAAATTTAACATATGTAAGCCTTATAGGACTAAACAACACAATTTTAATTTGTCTGATTTAAACTCATAAGATAGTTTGAATACTCCTCACCAAGATTAATACTCAACTATGATTTTCATTTTGCACATACTGTAAGAAAACTAGCCGTATGTCAGATAAATTAATAACAGTAATAATAATAATAATAATAATGGAAAAATAATGTGACGAGAAGACGGACAGAGGAAGAAAATTATCAAAGTAAAATACATAAGTATTCCAACAAGGTGGATTTAACCCAACTGTTGTCTCCTTTAGTATACATAAATCCGGCATCTTTAATCTGATTGTGCATGCTTTTTCGGCAAAATCATTCGATTTAACATTACTACTGCCGTAGTGAGAGCTGACTGCTAGCCAAATTGGTAGACAGTAATTTACGTCAATGTTTACGTCCCCAATATTGGTCATGGGAAAAATATGAACAAAGACTGATTCAACAACCAATCACAGCAGACTTTGCATAGGCGGATACAGTTAGCAAATAGATGATCTGACATTCAAGGGACAGTCACAAAGAGATGAAAGATTAACTTTCAGTGAGAAACAACGAGTCAGAAGACTGTGCTTCTTTGCTAACAATAATCTATAATAATGTATATGAAAATTTATAAATATGTGTTGATTTCCTAATAAATGATCTGTTGCCTGGCCCTTGTCTTCTGTTGTTACACTGCTACACGATGTCACAATTTACCTTTGCCATTATAGTGACTTGTATGACCAAGTTTTCCCCTAAGAAAAATACATTTTTCCAAACGCTAAAAAAGAAAATTACACTACCGAGGATGATAACAGTGTTTTCAGACTTAAGGCAACAAATGCCACCTGGTGAGTTGACAGAAACACACCACACAAAACGAGGTACACCAGAATTTAGTTTAGAATGCATGCAGCAAATAATAAGTTGAATGCGCAGACCAGCAAACAAGCAACAGAGCAAGGTTTAACAACAACAACAAAACTATGCCAATAGTGATGAAACTCGTCAGTTGATCAATTACCTTGTGATAGATATAACATAAAGTCACAATAAATCAGTCATAGCAATATATATGAAGGTCAAAGAATTTATGGTTCACGTGTCAGATGTAGAAAGGCGTGACAGGGTTGCAAAGGAGGGAAAGTGCAGTTCAATTAAGTAAGGTCATTATGATAACGAACAATTATTTTCTCGAAAAGAGAATTCAGTAATATTAAGACTTGTAAAACGAATAGCAAAAATAGAAGAATGGGTCTACTATTTCCTTTTCCATAAAAGGACTTGGTTTATAGACTCTGACTGTAAGTATCTTCTTACTTGCTTGTTTACTGACAAACAGTTAAAAGCTTTACAACGTCAATATCAAGTTGGCGGTCCAGAAGATATTTTCTTTTTTTTTATTCCCTTGGATATTCATGTTCCTAAATGGTTCAGTCAGTAAGGTATGTCCTCCTCCGTTATACGAATAGACAATTGTATTCCTATATGACCTAAGTGACGAGCAATGTTAACTGACAAAGGATTACGTCGGAAAAGAGTTGGAGATGTTCAAACCAAAACCTGCCATCAATCCATAAAGTCTTTGACAGTTAGTATGAGCCACATAGGGCAGAAATAAGGACTACCTGACTGGGGTGGTCCTAGGAATGCTAAGAATCACATGGTACACATGTATTCACTCTTTTTAGTCACTCAGATCCCTCACATTTCTGTTTACTATAGGTCTTTTCATACTCTTTTCTCTACTTGGAGTGAAGAGACTAAAACTGTTGTACTTCTGTGTAAAGTTCTATGTTGAGACTCGGTCACTCCGTCAATGTATTTGCCTGCACAGATACACTTATGTTGATATACACTGTTAGAAGAGTTGAGGATGCACATCCAGTTAATCTTAGATTGGTGTGTGCTGGTGATGAGAGATGGGTCTTGTGGCGTTCCATACTTTCATGATATCCGTGCTTAAAAAAATACTCGTGACCCAGTAGTTGGAAGACAGTCATCTAGACCTATGAGTCACAACTTTACACGTATTAAGTGTTCCTACGAATATAAAAGGTATATAAAGTACGACTCAGCAGTTTTTTTGTGATATAAAGGTAATAATACTTAAAGGCAATAAGTAGTGTAAAGCGAAGTGGAAAGTGTATGACAACAGGTGACGAATGAATTAACTTGGAATACAAGCACTCAGCTGTACCAATTAAAAGATCTTCATGAGATAACTTCTATAATTAAAAGCACACTATTTATGATGCCAACAGAGTCATACACAAGCTATACATTCACTGAAAGACACATACATTTTTTGGCGAAAACAAACAAAACTGTAGAAGAGATAACGAAGACTGAACTTCGAGTGAATGTAGAGAAGACGCAAGTGATGAGGGTAAACAACCCCCCCCCTCCAAAAAAAGAACCATGAGTCCTCACCATCCTCTTCCACTTATCTAGGTAGCATCATTTCAACTACAAGCTGTACAAGTGAGGATGTCAAAGACAGAATCAAAAAGAAGTACGACACACTTTCAATATTCTGAAATCAGTGTGTAAATATCAACATCAAGAACACTATAGGAATTCTATTTAATACTAATTTGTTAATTCAATACTTCTAAATGGTTCAGAGACTTTGTACATACGCCACAGAAATGATTTTCTGAGAAACTACTGAAAACTTTCCATCAACACCTGCTATCCTTCACTAGCTTGACAATGAAGATCAGATGATCAGCTAGAAAGGATTAGTGACAAAGAAGTCGGTAGTGCAAAGAACTAACCAAGAACATAACACCCAACAGAGAAGTAGAAGGAAATGCCAATGGATAAGATATTCGCCTGGCATCAAGCGCCATGCAGGCCATCGAGTGGGAAACGCATGGGAAACAGCAATTTCGGTGTGGGTCATAGGGTGACATCGAAGAAATTGTGTGAAGAAGAGATGAGAGCCTATAGACAATCATTATTATTATTATCTCCTTTAATTCCTAGAGGAACATAGGGCTTCAGCCGCACGTCTCCATTGCGTTCGGTACTCTGCTAGAGTTTTCACTTGGCTTCAAATCTGCCCACATGCTTTCATCTCCTCTTCACATGACCTCCTCCAAGTCACCTCACTGTGCCACTGGCGACCAACTCGCCGCTCCCCTTTCGGGTTCCAATCGACCGATGGCCTAGCGTGTGGTGTCACTTGATGGTTTGTTTTCTCAGAGAATAGCCAGTCCAACCCCCTCTCTTCCTGCATATCTGTTGCACAATTGGTTTCCGCCTGGTTGGTCCGTTCTCCAGAGATCCCTGTTGCTGATGTTTTCTGGCCGGCCATCTGATCTTGAGCGAAGTATTGAGCCAAGACAGCTATTGATGGTCTCTGGTTTGTTCGAAGTGTTCTTCATGACGCGGCACCAAGTCTCTAATCCGTATAATAAGTAGCACTGACTCCACATTGGAGTCGAAAAACCGGATCTTATTTTTCATGCTGACTAGTGCTGTTGACCTCCACACTTGCTTTTCCGATCCTAGCTTTGATATCCTCGTCAGTTACGCCTGTAGTTGAAACGATGCTTCCCAGTTAAGTATGTAAAGGAGGTTGTTTCTTTCAGGTGCCTCCAATTTATCCTGATTGTTGTCTGTTGTTGTTACTGTTGGCCAGGAATCTTCATCACCTCTGTTTTCTCTATGTTCACCTGAAGTGAGGTCATATCTTTGATGCTTCTTCTGACACCTTGTTGCTTTTCATCACTTGCATATCTTCCAGTTTCAAGGGAAATCAGATATATGTATGTTATCGG